TTCGTTCTTTGAGCGCTTCGTAATACTCCTTGCTGCAACGCAAAACCAAGACATGAGGAAGCATACAGTCTAATTGCAGAAGCAGAAGTTGTGCTGTATCCACCCCTCTCCATGATTTAGCCCCCTCCACTCAACACTTACTCGAAGGGAGCCGTGTTCGCCTCCGCTGCAGGCTCCATCTGACAAACAAGAAATGTGACAGTTTCTTCTGGAGTTCGAGCCGGTTCTCCTGGCGTGCATGTTCCTACGCCGCAGCCAACTTTGGTGCTCTTAGACCAAAGAAGGCGTGCGAGGTTGGCGCCGGCGGGTTTCGCCCAGAACGTCGTCCACCCATCATTTTCAGGGTACGACGGCAGCTCACTGAGAGAACAGCAGCAGTCGACATAACAATACCATGCAGAATTAGCATTTAAATCAATTGGATCAGCGATGATGATGAAGATGAAGCGGGTCTGTGCCGGGCACGAGGTGTATGAGAGTATGGCGGCTATGATTATGGAGAACTGTTCGTCACATTATATTCTCTTCTCAACATGACATCCCTGTGCCGTAGTCTTTTGCCTTCTTTGATTTTGTATGCATTAGTTTAATGCCTTGTGCAATTACGCTACCTAATTGCTTGTGTGTTGGTGTTGTGCTGCGGGCAGTAAAAATGCACTTACGCAAGTCCATCTTCAAGAGCTTTCTCCACAGCTTGGCGATATTTCTGGTCTCCTGTTTCTGTGAGCTGTGCGACAAATTTCGTCTTTTTCTGAAAATTCAAGCAGAAACAGAAAATGTCAAATACATTTTCGTGCTTATGCGGAGGTCCATAAACGTCTAAATGCGTATTTATGCTCGCCAGTCGAACGTTTAAACGGTGGCTTTACTCACGACTTCTCCGATGGCTTGTTCACACGTAGGGTCTGGGTGTTCAGATACCGCCGGTGCTGAGTCAGTCTTTAGACCATCAGCCAGGGTGCTGTCCTCCGTCAATACGCCAATCCGTACAGACAACTGACCAACGCGGGCCAAGTTCACGGAGGTGTATGCATCTGCAAGCAACAGAAGCTTGCCTGGAATCAGAAGAATGGAGGAGCGCCCATTCCCTGGCAGGTGTTTGTCTAAGCAGTGCAGTTAAGCTAATTATTTTTTGCAGGAACAGAAAGAAATACTCAAAACAAGGAGAGAAACGTGTGTCTGCTTACCTTTGTCTGCAACCTGAACTTGGTATTGCAAAGCTCCTGCCGCCGGCTGTAGACCAGAGAGCGCCACGAGGCAAACAACAGCTGCTCCCTTGAAAGTGGGTCCCATCGTCAAAAATAACAGACTAGAAACCGAACAAAATAATTAAACGGGCTACAAAGAGAAGAGTAATACGACAAAATGAACATGGAATGTGAATGACAAGTAAGGAGAAGCCTGGGCTTGTCGAGCTTGTCGCCTATCTCTGGGCCGGTAGCCCCCCTAGAGGCGGGCCTGCTACAAATCTGATGGTTCC